CGAAGTTCACCATTCCCCTGATTTCTAAATAGGATACAAATCAAACATTTTCCAGGTGAGTTTGAAGTTCATATTCTTAATTTAATTGTATTATTCTGGCACCAAACAAGTCTTACAACAAATAACCCTTTCAAAAATGGTTGAAACCAAACAGGAAATTCAATAAGTATTCAAAATAATCTGGTAAAAACTGTTAATACCCACTTATAATGTTGTTTTTAGGATTTTTAGCCTGTAAAGTGTCTGTGAATACCCCAAAATGCATCCTATAAATACAAATGATTATTATTACATTATATATAATAAAGATTGAACCTAGAAAATGGATCAGCAGATTTTTGTTTTCTGCACATCTTGGAATATTACTTAAAACAGCGCATGCAGTATATTAGAGGAATTTAAGCCCCTAAAAGTTGAGACACCTAAGAGGTCGAATAAAGCGTTTTTTCACTGCTTAAATATGTGTAGATTTTTCAATGGATGGTTTTAGAAACATATCTTATTGCTTAATTCGTTTTTCCCTGATGTTTGAATACTCCCAATAACGATAATAGTGAAAATGTGATCTTCTCCAAAGGAGGCAGTGTATACTTTATCACATGTATCTCTCTCTGGAAATAAGGATCAGAAAGTCACCAAATGTGGACTCGATGTTCACAGAGAGGCATTACAAACAATACATGAAAGCTTTAATCAATGCCCTTGTCCATATTTGTAATATTCACGCTTAAACACACATGAATTACAGGGTAGAGTGTGTGTGTGGTGCCTTCACCCCTCGGCTCTCAGATATTAGCATTTAAAGCAGAACATTTGGGCAACTGAACAACATATCTGGAGTTGTGTTCTTTCATTCTGAGTGTATCTGGTAATGATATTGAATCTCCTTTAAGCTCTGTGTAGCGACTGATATCAAAAAAGGCTTTAAATTAGATTAGCACTTAACTGAGGCGAGATCAAAGAGTATATGTTGGAGCTGAACGAACTGAAAATACAACATTGATAAATGATAAGTTGATTAAATGAAAGGTCGTGTAAGCAATGGTTTCCAATTCACACTTTAGCAACGTTAGCTTTTTGTTCAATAGTTATGATAATATGTTAAAAGGTTCAATCACTGCATCAGTCCATATTTCAACTGTTCACAGTTAAACACACACGAGTTACAGGGTAGTGTGTGTGTGTGTGTGTGTGTGTGTGTGTGTTTTACCTTCACCCCCTCGGACTGCGCGTGCATCACGTGAACGCTGCCGGCGCTCTGACCGCTGCCCGACGACCGAACACTGGTCACACTGCCAGAACTGCCCAAACTGCTGCGGTCCCCTCCTGCAACACACACACACACACACACACACACACACACACACATACATTCACACACATACACACATTCACACGCATGCATGCAACCGCCCGAACAATATGTATAGATATTGTGCAAACAAATGCACACATGCAACAAACAGATGGATGCATACAGTCATACACACACACACACACACACACACACACACACACACACACACACACACACACATTGAGTGGTTTAGCTGATATCCAAAGCAACGTGGCAACAGGTGTGACTCTCCTTTGAAATGCACTGGGCAGCATGTAGTTTGACAGACAGACAGGTGACGAACGACTGAGCAACAAACACAGGAAGTGGAGTCAACAAGACACACCTTTTGCTTCCACACACACACACACACACACACACACACACACACACACCTTTTCTCCCTACGTTGCTTCCTTCTCCATGCATCCAGTGGACAGACACACAGTAGACCGATGCCGTCTAAACATAAGCTACTGAGTTCAGCTGATCTATAGATGGAAGCAGGAGCGGGTCAAAGAGTATCTGAAAGCCTTCAAACATCGTTTAGCTCAACGAAGTGGCTGTTATTTTGTATATTGATTGTTGTGCTTTTATTTACGTTTTAATGTGTGCATAAGTATAAATGTGTCTGTTGATTGTGTGTAGATATATACATATTTCTATTTCTATTTGTTTTTGTATTGAAACGGTATTTCGATCTCTCTCTGGACACAAACTGAAAGATTGACAATAAAGTTGACTTTAACTTTTGACTTTGAAATGGATGCACGATTGGGTTCTCAAAACTGAAAACAACTCGGCGTGATAGGCATGTGAAGAGGGAACGTACACACACGGCTGTTTTACATGAGATATGAGATAAGACTGGACAGCTGCCACGCGTCAAAATGACTTTACAAACACTTGATCTGCTTCAACAAGGTCATTACATTTCAAAGAGAGTCCTAACTTGACTATTTAACAGCCTTTTAAAATGCAGAGAAATAACCGAAAATGTCATAAAGAAACTCGGATATTGGGTCTAAAAAAAATTGAAATAGTAGATGGCTTTTTATTTCATAATTCCTACCAAATATGTCCCGAAAAAACCATCCTAAAATAGCATCTTTGGAAGTGATTACATCGTATAACACTTTATTTACCCGACAAAACCATCGGTACACAAAGCAGTGTTGCTAACTTTGTGGTTCTAATATCCTATATTAGTTTTGCCTTTACTTCACAGGAGAATGAGTGATCCAGAAACATTGCAGATGCTTCCGGACTTTGGTGCACTTTGAACCCAAATACCTGTACTTTCTACTTCTTACACTTTGAACCCAAATACCTGTACTTTCTACTTCTTACATGTTGAACTCAAATACCTGTACTTTCTACTTCTTACATGTTGAACACAAATACCTGTACTTTCTACTTCTTACATGTTGAACTCAAATACCTGTACTTTCTACTTCTCACATGTTGAACTCAAATACCTGTACTTTCTACTTCTTACATGTTGAACTCAAATACCTGTACTTTCTACTTCTTACATGTTGAACACAAATACCTGTACTTTCTACTTCTTACATGTTGAACTCAAATACCTGTACTTTCTACTTCTTACATGTTGAACTCAAATACCTGTACTTTCTACTTCTTACATGTTGAACTCAAATACCTGTACTTTCTACTTCTTACATGTTGAACTCAAATACCTGTACTTTCTACTTCTTACATGTTGAACACAAATACCTGTACTTTCTACTTCTTACATGTTGAACACAAATACCTGTACTTTCTACTTCTTACATGTTGAACTCAAATACCTGTACTTTTCTACTTCTTACATGTTGAACTCAAATACCTGTACTTTCTACTTCTCACATGTTGAACTCAAATACCTGTACTTTCTACTTCTTACATGTTGAACTCAAATACCTGTACTTTATACTTCTCACATGTTGAACTCAAATACCTGTACTTTCTACTTCTTACATGTTGAACACAAATACCTGTACTTTCTACTTCTTACATGTTGAACACAAATACCTGTACTTTCTAATTCTTACATGTTGAACTCAAATACCTGTACTTTCTACTTCTTACATGTTGAACTCAAATACCTGTACTTTCTACTTCTTACATGTTGAACTCAAATACCTGTACTTTATACTTCTCACATGTTGAACTCAAATACCTGTACTTTCTACTTCTTACATGTTGAACTCAAATACCTGTACTTTCTACTTCTTACATGTTGAACCCAAATACCTGTACTTTCTACTTCTTACATGTTGAACCCAAATACCTGTACTTTCTACTTCTTACATGTTGAACACAAATACCTGTACTTTCTACTTCTTACATGTTGAACCCAAATACCTGTACTTTCTACTTCTTACATGTTGAACCCAAATACCTGTACTTTCTACTTCTTACATGTTGAACTCAAATACCTGTACTTTCTACTTCTTACATGTTGAACCCAAATACCTGTACTTTCTACTTCTTACATGTTGAACCCAAATACCTGTACTTTCTACTTCTTACATGTTGAACCCAAATACCTGTACTTTCTACTTCTTACATGTTGAACCCAAATACCTGTACTTTCTACTTCTTACATGTTGAACCCAAATACCTGTACTTTCTACTTCTTACATGTTGAACTCAAATACCTGTACTTTCTACTTCTTACACTTTGAACCCAAATACCTGTACTTTCTACTTCTTACATGTTGAACTCAAATACCTGTACTTTCTACTTCTTACATGTTGAACTCAAATACCTGTACTTTCTACTTCTTACACTTTGAACCCAAATACCTGTACTTTCTACTTCTTACATGTTGAACACAAATACCTGTACTTTCTACTTCTTACATGTTGAACCCAAATACCTGTACTTTCTACTTCTTACATGTTGAACCCAAATACCTGTACTTTCTACTTCTTACACTTTGAACCCAAATACCTGTACTTTCTACTTCTTACATGTTGAACTCAAATACCTGTACTTTCTACTTCTTACATGTTGAACTCAAATACCTGTACTTTCTACTTCTTACACTTTGAACCCAAATACCTGTACTTTCTACTTCTTACATGTTGAACTCAAATACCTGTACTTTCTACTTCTTACACTTTGAACCCAAATACCTGTACTTTCTACTTCTTACATGTTGAACACAAATACCTGTACTTTCTACTTCTTACATGTTGAACCCAAATACCTGTACTTTCTACTTCTTACATGTTGAACCCAAATACCTGTACTTTCTACTTCTTACATGTTGAACCCAAATACCTGTACTTTCTACTTCTTACATGTTGAACTCAAATACCTGTACTTTCTACTTCTTACACTTTGAACCCAAATACCTGTACTTTCTACTTCTTACATGTTGAACTCAAATACCTGTACTTTCTACTTCTTACATGTTGAACACAAATACCTGTACTTTCTACTTCTTACATGTTGAACTCAAATACCTGTACTTTCTACTTCTTACATGTTGAACCCAAATACCTGTACTTTCTACTTCTCACATGTTGAACACAAATACCTGTACTTTCTACTTCTCACATGTTGAACCCAAATACCTGTACTTTCTACTTCTTACATGTTGAACCCAAATACCTGTACTTTCTACTTCTTACATGTTGAACTCAAATACCTGTACTTTCTACTTCTTACATGTTGAACACAAATACCTGTACTTTCTACTTCTTACATGTTGAACACAAATACCTGTACTTTCTACTTCTTACATGTTGAACACAAATACCTGTACTTTCTACTTCTTACATGTTGAACCCAAATACCTGTACTTTCTACTTCTTACATGTTGAACACAAATACCTGTACTTTCTACTTCTTACATGTTGAACACAAATACCTGTACTTTCTACTTCTTACATGTTGAACTCAAATACCTGTACTTTCTACTTCTTACATGTTGAACTCAAATACCTGTACTTTCTACTTCTTACATGTTGAACACAAATACCTGTACTTTCTACTTCTTACATGTTGAACACAAATACCTGTACTTTCTACTTCTCACATGTTGAACTCAAATACCTGTACTTTCTACTTCTTACATGTTGAACACAAATACCTGTACTTTCTACTTCTTACATGTTGAACACAAATACCTGTACTTTCTACTTCTTACATTTGAACACAAATACCTGTACTTTCTACTTCTTACATGTTGAACACAAATACCTGTACTTTCTACTTCTCACATGTTGAACTCAAATACCTGTACTTTCTACTTCTTACATGTTGAACTCAAATACCTGTACTTTCTACTTCTCTCATGTTGAACTCAAATACCTGTACTTTCTACTTCTTACATGTTGAACACAAATACCTGTACTTTCTACTTCTTACATGTTGAACACAAATACCTGTACTTTCTACTACTTACATGTTGAACACAAATACCTGTACTTTCTACTACTTACATGTTGAACACAAATACCTGTACTTTCTACTTCTTACATGTTGAACACAAATACCTGTACTTTCTACTACTTACATGTTGAACACAAATACCTGTACTTTCTACTTCTTACATGTTGAACTCAAATACCTGTACTTTCTACTTCTTACATGTTGAACCCAAATACCTGTACTTTCTACTTCTTACATGTTGAACTCAAATACCTGTACTTTCTACTTCTTACATGTTGAACCCAAATACCTGTACTTTCTACTTCTCTCATGTTGAACTCAAATACCTGTACTTTCTACTTCTTACATGTTGAACACAAATACCTGTACTTTCTACTACTTACATGTTGAACACAAATACCTGTACTTTCTACTTCTTACATGTTGAACTCAAATACCTGTACTTTCTACTTCTTACATGTTGAACTCAAATACCTGTACTTTCTACTTCTTACATGTTGAACCCAAATACCTGTACTTTCTACTTCTTACATGTTGAACACAAATACCTGTACTTTCTACTTCTTACATGTTGAACTCAAATACCTGTACTTTCTACTTCTCACATGTTGAACTCAAATACCTGTACTTTCTACTTCTTACATGTTGAACTCAAATACCTGAACTTTCTACTTCTCACATGTTGAACTCAAATACCTGTACTTTCTACTTCTTACATGTTGAACTCAAATACCTGTACTTTCTACTTCTCACATGTTGAACTCAAATACCTGTACTTTCTACTTCTTATATTTTGAACACAAATACCTGTACTTTCTACTTCTGACATGTTGAACTCAAATACCTGTACTTTCTACTTCTTACATGTTGAACTCAAATACCTGTACTTTCTACTTCTCACATTTTGAACACAAATACCTGTACTTTCTACTTCTCACATGTTGAACTAAAATACCTGTACTTTCTACTTCTCACATTTTGAACACAAATACCTGTACTTTCTACTTCTCACATGTTGAACTCAAATACCTGTACTTTCTACTTCTCACATTTTCAACACAAATACCTGTACTTTCTACTTCTCACATTTTGAACACAAATACCTGTACTTTCTACTTCTTACATGTTGAACTCAAATACCTGTACTTTCTACTTCTCACATTTTCAACACAAATACCTGTACTTTCTACTTCTTACATGTTGAACTCAAATACCTGTACTTTCTACTTCTCACATGTTGAACTCAAATACCTGTACTTTCTACTTCTTACATGTTGAACACAAATACCTGTATTTTCTACTTCTCACATGTTGAACACAAATACCTGTACTTTCTACTTCTTACATGTTGAACACAAATACCTGTACTTTCTACTTCTTACATGTTGAACACAAATACCTGTACTTTCTACTTCTTACATTTTGAACACAAATACCTGTACTTTCTACTTCTTACATTTTGAACACAAATACCTGTACTTTCTACTTCTTACATTTTGAACACAAATACCTGTACTTTCTACTTCTTACATTTTGAACACAAATACCTGTACTTTCTACTTCTCACATGTTGAACACAAATACCTGTACTTTCTACTTCTTACATTTTGAACACAAATACCTGTACTTTCTACTTCTCACATGTTGAACACAAATACCTGTACTTTCTACTTCTTACATGTTGAACTCAAATACCTGTACTTTCTACTTCTCACATGTTGAACACAAATACCTTTACTTTCTACTTCTTACATTTTGAACACAAATACCTGTACTTTCTACTTCTTACATGTTGAACTCAAATACCTGTACTTTCTACTTCTTACATTTTGAACACAAATACCTGTACTTTCTACTTCTTACATTTTGAACACAAATACCTGTACTTTCTACTTCTTACATTTTGAACACAAATACCTGTACTTTCTACTTCTTACATGTTGAACACAAATACCTGTACTTTCTACTTCTTACATGTTGAACACTAATATCTGTACTTTCTACTTCTTACATGTTGAACACAAATACCTGTACTTTCTACTTCTTACATGTTGAACTCAAATACCTGTACTTTCTACTTCTTACATGTTGAACTCAAATACCTGTACTTTCTACTTCTTACATGTTGAACCCAAATACCTGTACTTTCTACTTCTTACATGTTGAACTCAAATACCTGTACTTTCTACTTCTTACATGTTGAACACTAATATCTGTACTTTCTACTTCTTACATGTTGAACACAAATACCTGTACTTTCTACTTCTTACATGTTGAACCCAAATACCTGTACTTTCTACTTCTTACATGTTGAACTCAAATACCTGTACTTTCTACTTCTTACATGTTGAACCCAAATACCTGTACTTTCTACTTCTTACATGTTGAACACAAATACCTGTACTTTCTACTTCTTACATGTTGAACCCAAAATACCTGTACTTTCTACTTCTCACATGTTGAACCCAAATACCTGTACTTTCTACTTCTTACATGTTGAACACAAATACCTGTACTTTCTACTTCTTACATGTTGAACACAAATACCTGTACTTTCTACTTCTTACATGTTGAACCCAAATACCTGTACTTTCTACTTCTCACATGTTGAACCCAAATATCTGTACTTTCTACTTCTTACATGTTGAACCCAAATATCTGTACTTTCTACTTCTTACATGTTGAACCCAAATACCTGTACTTTCTACTTCTTACATGTTGAACCCAAATACCTGTACTTTCTACTTCTTACATGTTGAACCCAAATACCTGTACTTTCTACTTCTCACATGTTGAACACAAATACCTGTACTTTCTACTTCTCTCATGTTGAACTCAAATACCTGTACTTTCTACTTCTTACATGTTGAACCCAAATACCTGTACTTTCTACTTCTTACATGTTGAACTCAAATACCTGTACTTTCTACTTCTTACATGTTGAACTCAAATACCTGTACTTTCTACTTCTCTCATTTTCCAAACAGCTGGTTCCTTTAGTCTGAATGTGTGTTTGATGCGTGATCATTATTCTTTAGAGTCATTGCGTGCCTATTGATTTGAACACGATCCGTGTATCCATCATTTCCTGGTCTTCTCTAAAGAAGAGGGACCAATGGAAACGTTGTCATGTTGCCGTTGTTCAGCATGGAAACATTCATTAGCTAACAATGACATTATTGTTCTATTAATATAAAGGGAGGTCAGGTACTCTTTAAAGCAGCTGCTAGTTATGGGTACTTTCTACTGAAGTACATTTCAAAGCCTCTTTACTTTTACTTGAGTAAAGAAGTTTAGTCAGTACTTCTACTTTTACCAATGTATTTTTAAACACGAGTATCTGTACGTCTACTTGAGGAAAGGATGTGTGTACTTTTGCCATCTCTGAGCTTTGTGCATATGACAATTTGAATCTTTGAATCTTTTGAACGGCCGTCAGATACTGTTTGCCCGCTGGTTGGAGTTTAAGGTTTCGGGGTTGAGGGCAGTTACCTGCCGTGGGTTTGCGCAGAACCCAGATCTCTTCGTTGGAGCCTCCTTGGGGCCCGCAGGACGTGGTGGGGGAGCTGTGAGGACTGACCTCTGAGCCGCGGCAACCTTCAACACAGAACACCACCGTTAGCCGCTAACCGACCCTAAACTGGCCCAGGAAGCAATGCTATCCCTTTGCTGTCAGATATTAGCATTTAAAGCAGAACATTTGGGCAACTGAACAAGCTTTCTGGAGTTGTGTTTTTGTTTCTGAGTGTAACTGGTAAACTTCGATATTGAATCTCCTTTAAGCTCTGTGTAGCGACTGATATCAAAAAAGTCGCTAATACTGAGGCAAGATCAAATAATAGGCTATGTATGCTAGTAGCATGCTATGCAGCAAATATATTTAAATATTTTTGTCAGCTTTGGGGAAGCTGAACGAACTTCATTATTAGTTGATATGGCTAACATGTAAGCAATGGTTGCCATTCAACCTTTAGCTACTTTAGCTTTTTGTTCCATAGTTATGATATATTTTGATGAGAATACTTTTCTACTTTTACTTGAGGAACATTTTGAATGCAGGACTTTTACTGTAACAGAGTATTCCTACACTCTGGTACTTCTACTTTTACTCAAGTACAATATTTGAGTACTTCTCCCACCTCTGCCCTTACAAATAAATTCAACTTCACTTCATTTCAACAACGGACACTTACTTTAGCAGATTGCTGCTGTTGTAATTATATATTTTTTAAAAGAAGGGTGACGTGGGGTTAATTAATAAATTCAAACTTATCTGCAAAACATACGGAAAATACAGAGGGGTCATAAGGAGAGCTGGGAGATGGGATTAAAGGCGCATAAGGAAGTTTTTTTAAAAAGGATATTTCAAACTAACTCACACACCACACTCTCATACTCACAACACACACACACACACACACACACAGTTATACACAGAGAAAATACAGCATATATATATGAAAACATTTATATACCCATAGTACATAAATAAATCCATAACGTGAATATCTGTGTGTACAAACACATATATATGCCATAATGTACATACACATACATATATAATATGTGTTGGATTATATATGTAAGTCTCATCAGAATGGGGCTGCTGTCGTGCATTTGGAGAGTGTCATAAACCATTATAACCATCCTAATAAGGTTTATAAATGGTTTATATGTGTGGCAAACAGTGCTCAGAGAAACACGTCAACAAGTTCCATTTGCTTTCATGTAGTTCTGCAGATTCTCTTTGTGCACATTTTGAATCCCTCCAAGAGAAACAAAGGACTGAACAGTCAGCTTTCAAAGGCTTTGATTTGACTTCAAGCTTCTGTGAGTTTAAAAAGAAATGTTTTCAGCACTTATGAACAACAAATAGGGAAAGTATGTTGACCTGATTTAGTTATAAGTAAATGCATAGTATTTTTTAAAGGAACTACAGCACGGTCACATGACTTCACGTCACCACCGCTAAGCTAAAGGTGGCTAATGTTGGGCTATAAAGGAACTACAGCACGGTCACATGACTTCACGTCACCACCGCTAAGCTAAAGGTGGCTAATGTTGGGCTATAAAGGAACTACAGCACGGTCACATGACTTCACGTCACCACCGCTAAGCTAAAGGAGGCTAATGTTGGGCTATAAAGGAACTACAGCACGGTCACATGACTTCACGTCACCACCGCTAAGCTAAAGGAGGCTAATGTTGGGCTATAAAGGAACTACGGCCCGGTCACATGACTTCACGTCACCACCGCTAAGCTAAAGGAGGCTAATGTTGGGCTATAAAGGAACTACAGCACAGTCACATGACTTCACGTCACCACCGCTAAGCTAAAGGAGGCTAATGTTGGGCTATAAAGGAACTACGGCCCGGTCACATGACTTCACGTCACCACCGCTAAGCTAGAGGCGGCTAATGTTGGGCGATAAAGGAACTACAGCACGGTCACATGACTTCACGTCACCACCGCTAAGCTAAAGGAGGCTAATGTTGGGCTATAAATGAACTACAGCACGGTCACATGACTTCACGTCACCACCGCTAAGCTAAAGGTGGCTAATGTTGGGCTATGAATGAACTACAGCCCGGTCACATGACTTCACGTTACCACCGCTAAGCTAAAGGAGGCTAATGTTGGGCTATAAATGAACTACAGCACGGTCACATGACTTCACGTCACCTGAAGGATGAGAGGACCATTGACTTTCAGACGAGGGAACAGGAAAGTGCTAAAATGCTGACTCATTTCTGGGTTTAGGACTCATTCCTGAATTCACAGTCTTCAGGCTTACTGTGTGACAGTTATTTTTGCGTAGAGGGGTTTATTCTCTTGGAGGAAACAAAATGGTGACCAGTAAAGTTTCCCATTTACAGAACAGAAATGTCAAAGTCAGTGAATACCTTACCTGCAAAACATCCCATGTGACACATTTTTCTAACAATACATTTTAGGTCCCTTACATAACACATTTTCAATTAAATATATTCTTGATTTCTAAGCTGAAAAGAAAATATCCCTGGTTAATGTCATCAAAGCTTTACCTTTACCTCTAAATGTAAACATCTTTAACGGCAATCTTTCCCAAAACAAAAAGACAATTTTGCCGAGACTCATTAGGTGTGGTTTTGAAATTGTTAAAATCAACATTTGTGTTTCAGCACAATCCCCCGTCCAAAACCCGGCACTATCTTAACTTTACTATTCCCACCCTTCACCACCAACACACACACTCTCACACACACACATTGAGGGTATAAGTGCAAGGTGGGTAAGTGGTGTTAAAATGATCAGACGTGACAATAACACGCAGGACGAGGCAGGACAGAACGAAAACACACAGTCTGGTCAGGAGAGGGATGTGTGTGATGTCTGGGGTTCAGAAACTTGCAGGATTTGTCTTGGTGAAAGTTACTGGAGATGTACGGGGGGAAGAGGAAAGAACGAAGAGGACGATGAAGGAAAAATAAGGTAAAACGAAAAGACATTTAAATAAGGCACAAACTAAATCAGGTGAACAGAGGTCTGAGGCAAAATGGTGAGTTTCTACCACCCAACATCTATTCTTCCTCACTAGCGTAGGTATTCACTAAAGATTCTTCAATTAAGTGGGTCCTAATGTCAATCACTACCAATTTAACAAGAATTACAGGTTGTTCAGAGGCTATATCCATTGAATTATGACGTTTTGCATATAGGTGTCAAGCAAATAATTACAGTTACTCAAAGACTGTACATTTTCTTGTACATTTTCTAGTTTTTTTACTTTTTAGAGGTAATTTAGAGGTGCTTGTTTACACATTTTATTACGTTTGGAAGCTAATTTAACCGACTACTAGCGACAGATGCTAGCCTATTTGAATAATGGATCGTTTCTGGAGTTATTGATGGATGTGTTACCTATGCAAAGAGCCAAGCTAGATGCTTCTGTGCTAAGCTAAGCTATGCTAACCGCAGCTTAACATCAAAGCTAAGAGTAGTGAAAATAGATGCTAGCCTAGCTTTACAACATGTATTTTTTGGGACTAATTGATGGATGTGTTACCTATGCAAAGAGCCAAGCTAGATGCTTCTGTGCTATGCTAAGCTAAGCGTCTACTAGCAGAGTAAATCTCCTTATAAATAGCCTTTCTTACAAAATGTTCAATTATCTCTGTCTGCTTTTGTAATCTAGTTTATATTAACCACAAAGTTCAACTGTATTCTGTTTCTCTATAGCAGTATTTTCAAAAAATAAAGCTAGCAACATTAGCTGTATTTTTATAACACTACAACTTCTTTAAACCCTTCAATCAATTTTAATCCGATTGTTAGATTATAGTTAAGCTGTAGAGTAAATATATATTTGATGACAAGACCTGCATAACTTAATCTTAATACTTAAATAAATTAGCATTTTAGCATACCCATTAGCTTAGCAAGTGGCTCAAACATCTTATACTCCTGTCTAAAAGTGGCTCTCTCTAATGGAGATGATAACAGCAACAACAGAAAAATAAAAGCTATACAGTATGATCAACACATAAAGATACATAAATAATGATCCATAACAGAAAACTTCAATGGATGCCTTTTTTATAACTGCATTTAAATTAGAGTTTTACACGACCAATCAGAAATAGAGTTTTGCTTAAGTGTGCAGAGAAAAAAGCATCCCTTGAAGCTTTGATAATCATAATAAATATAATAATAATCATAATAATAATAATACAAATAATGAGAAAAGGGGGCGTGTACCTGGGGCAGTGGGGGTTTCTCCCTGTGGGCTTGTCACGGGCGACTTGCTATAGCCAAAGGAAGTGAAAAGTGGAAGCAGTGGCTGATGGGAATGTGGAGGTGGAGGAGGAGGCGGTGGAGGCAGGATATGGATCTGATGGAAGGTGGTGTCGTTGCCGTTCAATATCGAGTTTGCAGGGGCAACCGTTGCCGGAGGAACCAGCGGTATCTTTTGAAACTGTTGAGTGCAAATGACTGTGCTGGCCAAACCTAAAATAACACCCACCGCGACGACACACACACACACACACACACACACACACACACACACACACACACACACACACAGCCAGCCAACAGTGAACCACCGCCAACAGACGACAAAACAGAGAGTTACATGAAAGAAAGAAGGAGGGAGAGGGGAGGGGGAAAGACAAATTAAAAACAAAGAAGGTTGAGGTTACAAAGTAAATCAAAAAGGTGGTGGAGGAAAATGTTGGATGTTAAAAGGTGCGAGGAAGAAGAAGGAGGAGGAGTCGACAAATATGTGGCCGTTGTAGAAATGAAATGTATGGAGGGGTTAAAGTGATGGACGATGGAAGCGGGGATGGTCCATCATTTTTAAGACCTTAGTGTCTTATTTTGCGACATAGGACATTTTCTATTTTCTATGCCCTTAACGCTCCCACACCCACAGAGGGGAAATTGGACTTCTCCAACACTGTCAAATAACTAATGACATGCAGTATGTTCCTTTAAATGTCATGAGCTCGTAGCACACAACAATGGTGCTATGCCATTGTACGATGGCCCATTCTGAACAAATAGCTTTGGACCAAACAACCCAAAAAGAAATGCCCATTGCTGCAAATACTTTGTGCAACAAACAGAAGCACATGGCTCGTATTCTCACCCAACCAACAAAGGCTAGTAATACAGATTCTTGAAACTTATACATATTGTAAATATCTGAAGTTGTATCTGTTTAATTGTATGTGTTGGTTATGAATCTGAAACCATCCCAAAAAGGAAACGTTTTTTTTCTGACGATTTAGTATTTTGACGATTGGCGAGCTAACCAAGAGAGTGATTGGTTTCTGAACCTGATGCTTGTGTCAAACTCTACACTTGTAATATTTACTCTACAGTGTTCCCTCTTTGGTTTCCTCGTGCCGAATTGCCAACCTGAGTTGTGTGAGAGTTTGTAAAGGGACGTTTCCACTATGAATGGCCATGATTTAGTTCAATTCAATATATTTAATTCTTCGTTCAAGCTGGAGGTATGCAAGAACAACCAAATGTTCTCCCATAATTCAAGGTAACACAGGGTTATTTGGTATTCCTTTAAGTACAGATATCTGGTAGTTTCCCACATTATTGTCACAACTGCTGCAACATACAAACATTTCAAAGTATTTTGTTCATATTTCCATCTAGCCTTATGGGCCATTCGTGTTAGTTGAAACCAGTTTTTAAAATGTAGCATCCCGGCTGTAGGGACACGAGGGAAATGAGATGTGCAGAACATGAAGAATGGAAAAGGATCATTGAAATGGATGAAAACCAGTTGAGTCAATGAAACCTCTCTCTAAAATAGCTGCTGTGTGTGTGCTTTGCCTCAGCAGTAA